GGCACGATGACTTGTCATCATCCAATGATGGAGGCTGTGATGCAGCAATCCCTCTAGAATAAGAATATTTATTGGGAAAAAAAATCCGACGAGATAAATAGTTATTTCCACATGTTCATGGCTCCATTTCCACGTCAAATGATCCGCTCTGGCGTGAATCCAGCTCCCTGGATTTTTACCACCAGATGTGCCCTCACTGGTCACCACCGTATGACATTCACTACAATGCTGCGATGGACTGAAAGAGAGACACGTGGATATCCTTATACAGTGAGGGAAAAAAGTATTTGATCCCCTGCTGATTTTGTACGTTTTCCCACTGACAAAGAAATGATTAGTCATTAATTTTAATGGTAGGTTTATTTGAACAATGAGAGACAGAATAATAACAAAAAAATCCAGAAAAAACGCATGTCAAAAATTTTATAAATTGATTTGCAATTTAATGAGGGAAATAAGTATTTGACCCCCTCTCAATCAGAAAGATTTCTGGCTCACAGGTGTCTTTTATACAAGTATCGAGCTGAGATTAGGAGCACACTCTTAAAGGGAGTGCTCCTAATCTCAGCTTGTTACCTGTGTAGTGGAATAAATAGGCGCATGGGGGTAATTGGTGAGTTTGCGCGGGAGCAGGAGAGTAGGGGTCATATTGGGCCGATGAGGCAACGATTGGGCCAATTAAGCTGGGGGAGCCAAGGACGGCTGTGATTGGCTGGTGTTGTTGTCAGGGCTGAAGTGGCGTCTTGAAATCTAGCGAGGTAACAGGTGCACGGGCACGCGGAGCGTCGTTGGGCCGCGGGTTAATTAATTGGGGTGTAATGAGAGCGGGGATAAATTGGGGAGACGTGAGGAAAAACGGGAGTTGGAGTAGGGGCTGGACGAGGCAAGACATGGAGCAGCTGACGAGAGAAGCAGCCAGCAGTGGAGAGAGTATAGTGATAGCGAAGCGCGGAGAACAGAGACGAAGCAGTTAGCAGTGGAGAGAGCATAGTGATAGCAAAGAGCGGAGAACAGCGACGAAGCAGTTAGCAGTGGAGACAGCAAAGTGATGGCAAAGAGCGGAGAGCAGAGACGAAGCAGTTAGCAGTGGAGAGAGCACAGTGATAGCAGAGACGAAGCAGTTAGCAGTGGAGAAAGCAGTGATAATGGAGAGCGAAGAGCAGAAGCGAAGCAGCCAGCAGTAGAGAGAGCACAGTGATGGCGGGGAGCAGAGACGAAGCAACCAGTAGTGGGGGAAGCACAGAGACATCGGAGCTGACGGAGTGGAGATTGGAGAGACAAAGGTGGCGAGCGAGTCGAGTGAAGCATAGCGAGCGAGCTGCGGCAACAAAGGAACTGTGGAGCATTGAGGACGTGCAGAACTGTAAATAAAGTGGTGTTGGAAGAAAGACAAAAGTTGTCCTAGTGAAATCAACCACTACACCTGTATAAAAGACACCTGTCCACAGAAGCAATCAGATTCCAAACTCTCCACCATGACCAAGACCAAAGAGCTCTCCAAAGATGTCAAGGACAATATTGTAGACCTACACAAGGCTGGAATGGACTACACGACCATTGCCAAGCAGCTTGGTGAGAAGGTGACGACAGCTGGTGCGATTATTCGCAAATGGAAGAAACACAAAAGAACTGTCAATCTCCCTCAGCCTGGGGCTCCATGCAAGATCTCACCTCGTGGAGTTGCAATGATCATGAGGAACGGTGAGGAATCGGCCCAGAACTACACGGAAGGATCTTGTCAATGATCTCAAGGCAGCTGGGACCATAGTCACCAAGAAAACAATTGGTAACACTACGCCATGAAGGACTGAAATCCTGCAGTGCCTGCAGCCTCGAAACTTTAATGACTTAATGACTTGGAGAAGATCTGCAAAGAGGTGGGACAACATCCCTCCTGAGATGTGTGCAAACCTGGTGGCCAACTGCAAGAAACGTCTGACCTCTGATTGCCAACAAGGGTTTTGCCACCAAGTACTAAGTCATGTTTTGCAGAGGGGTCAAATACTTATTTCCCTCATTAAAATGCAAATCAATTTATAAAATTTTTGACATGCGTTTTTCTGGATTTTTATGTTATTCTGTCTCACTGTTCAAATAATCCTACCATTAAAATTATCGACTGATAATTTCTTTGTCAGTGGGCAAATGTACAAAATCGGCAGGGGATCAAATACTTTTTTCCCTCACTGTACAGTATAGTTGAGTTGACGAAAAGTTTGCTATTATCGGAAAGTTCTGGTGTCATGAACGATGTTTCTTTACTCAAACACAATTGGCATGTTAACTCCGAATGCAGTTTACATAGCAAACACAAGGATGCATATTCATTTTGGGCTACAGTATTCCAGACAGTAATTTACATCATGCGTATCTCCTGATCCCAGCTCTGAACCAGTGGGGAAAATTCCACATTCCTATGGTGGTGAATTAATCCACAGGACAATCACGATCAACTTCCCACAAAGCAGTACATTATATCTTGATTTGAAGCTTTCATGACTGCAGGAATCCATACTATTTGGTACTTTCGGTAAAGTCACATAGGTATAAAAATAAATAAAGTAATTCACGACGTTTCTGGCACAACACAAGCATCCATCATCAGGTAGGAAAGCATGGTCTGCTGATGAGGTAGACTTTTAAAAAGGTTTGAAATGGGTGTAGTTCAAGTGTCATAAAGAAGTGGCCAGGGCTAGTGATGTTAATGTGAGAAATTTGCATGTAACTGTAGAAAAGGAGAATAGCGGCCTCCTTGATGAGGAAGCACAATCCAAAGGGCCTGAGTATGAGAGTGCAATCCAAAAGACATGTGAGCATGAGAGTGCAATCCAAAGGCATGAGAGTGCAATGCAACGGACATGTGAGCATGAGAGATCTATGAGAGAGGCATAGAGAGAGACAGAGAGTCGAAATAACAGCTGACATAGGCAGGTTGGATGGAAACATCAGTCAGTTAATAATTTACATGGTTAATAACGTCCTTCCAATGATTGCTCAGTTTGTACCCCATCCTCTCGGTTGAAGTTGTGTCTGTGTTTATATATCTGGATGGCTTCATGAACAAATCTCTGAAGGTAGCCGGGTAGGTTTGCAGAGTACCTCCGTCTTGGAAAAATCAATTTCGTGTGAGCCCACAGCGTTAAAACAATAATCGGCAACGGCAATGGTCCTACCGTCTTTCAGATCTGCCTTGTGTTCACAGACGCGGTCCGAGACATGACGTTTCGTTTCCACAATCTAACTGATGCCGCAACCACAGCTCAGTTTGTAGACACCACGGTATTGCATGTCACATATTTTACAAATGGGATTAAATCACGGATTTTGTGTACTGTATCAAATCGAACCTGGGTCTTGTGTTTAAGATTTTGGAAATATTTTGGTAACCCCTGCTATGTACGGTAAAGTGATGGTTTTGGTTGGATCCTCAGGTTGTCTCCGGATGGCTGGGGAGACAGCTTTGCGGATTGTACAGTCCGAGTAACCGTTCATCCCGAGGGCTTGGTATACGTGCTCCAACACACTGGCGAGGTGGTGCTGGTCTGAGATGCAACGGGCCCTATGGTGTAGTGTTTTGATGAGGGAATTCTTCTGGGCTGGATGGTGGTAGGAATCAGGCTTTAGATAGGAATCCGTGTGGGTGGCTTTCCTGTAGACAAGAGTGTCCCAACGAGCCATCAGGTCTCTTCTCGATCAAAACATCCAGTAATGGTAGCTTGCCATCCTTTTCCACTTCCATGGTGAATTTGATAGACAGGTGTATGGAATTGATGTGGTTGAGAAATTGGTTCAGTGCTGGCAGGCCATGTCGCCAGATGACAAACCTGTCATCTACGTATCTCTTCCACAAAGGACATAGGGTGGATGTCTGGATGGCATCTGTCTCAAAATTTTCCATGAAAACATTCGCTACCACTGGCGATAAGGGAGAACCCATTAGGGTACCATAATTTTGTCTGTAGAATGTACCATTCCAGTTGAATTATGTGTTGGTAAGACAGTGCCTTACCAAAGTTGGTACATCTGGATTCAGTCCTTGTTGGACCAAGTCTTCAATTATTGCAATGGCGTCAAGTACATTGGTGAACAGAGAGACTACATCGAAACTGACAAGCAAATCATCCAGAGATAGTGAGATGTCCTTGATTAGAGAAACCAAGTGAGCTGAGTTAAGTACAGCTTAGGTGGACTTGCCAGTGAAAAGAAGCAGAGTCTCAGACAGAAATCGGGCCAGTTTGTAGGTGGATCGAGTTAATCGTGGAGACAATAGGACGGAGCGGGGTACCTACTTTGTGGATTTTAGGAAGGCCATAAAATCTGGGTGGTGTAGCGGCCGAAGGTTTTAGGGAGCTCTGCTTGGTCTGATCGATTACAGAAGTCGATTTAGTGATCGCCACTTCCGTGCCCTTGTCGAGGAGGCTGCTCTGCTATCTTACAGTTACATTCTAATTTATCACATTAACATCACTAGCCCCGGCCACTTCTTTTTGACCCTTGAGCTACACCCATTTCAAACCTTTTTAAAACAGTCTACCTCAGCAGCAGACAATGCTTTCCCACCTGATGATGGACGCTTGTGTTGCGCCCGAAACGTCGTGATTTACTATATTTTATTTTATACCTACGTGACTTTACAAAAAGAACCAAAGAGTACAGTACATTATATATTGACCCTCAATGAATGAGTGGCTAAGTCAAACCCGAACCAGGATTTGAACCTGCAACCTTCCGGATTGCAAGCCGCTGACTCTACCACCGAGCCACCTGGCCAGGTAAAATATTATTACGTGGGACTTAATAGGTGCCCGCTGAGAGCAATAAGCCCAACAGTGGATGTCTATGAGGCTGTACCAGACTGTGCGTGGGTTGCAAAGCTGCCAGATTGGTCAACTCAAAATCCTTTGTGAAGTGTTTCCCAAGACCTCGTATAATCCAAGTGCACATGCTTCTGTCCACTTCCTTTAATAAGGACACCACAATTAATTGATTCAAGTCAATTATCATGGCCAACAATATTCAATGTTTTATTCTTAATAATTTGCGTTTGTAACACTTCCTTCTCTACTTTTCTACAGCTGTAGAGTATATATTCCCACTGGTGTGGATTCTGTATCCACACCACTGTAGATTCTCCAAGATTCATACCATTGTAGATTTCATAATTTCATATTTTTACAGAAGTCAATTAATTCCTGATGTAGATTATATCGTAGTATTGTATGGAGGTATATTGTACAGAGTATTCGCACAATAAAATAATTTACAGCTATTTCTAAGCAATGAATGAAGGCCTCGCCACGCCAGGTTGGGTTTTTTTTAATACCATACTTCATGTGAAGAGGCCGCAGGGAAATGTTTCGGGCAGCAGAGGGCAGTGCAGAAAAAGCCCATGTTGTGCAGTAAGTCTCTGGTTTAAGACCAATGTTTCCCACCTTCAACCTCCATAAAAGGAGACGACAGCGGGGGCTCGAGGCTGCCAGTTCTGGGAATGGACTCGTCTCGTCGTTGCTGTCGTCGCTCAACGTCTCCGCTAGATACTGCGCTACGAAGGATAGTAGTTGGCTATCTCAGTCAGCGCCGTCAGTGTTAGACGGCTAGTGTTATGTACCAGCTAGGCAAAGCTATTGATGCGAGTGTGTGGACGAGACAGTGGAAGTTGTTAATAAAGAAGGTGCCTCCTATAAACTGTCTTTGAATTGTTGACGCTACAAAAATATTAATGAGAAAAAAAATATTTGTGTAAGTTGTGCCAGGTCAGGTGCTACCAGATTCTGCTCAGGCCCATGGACTAAAGGGAATGTGGAATTTCTACCACTGGGTCAGGGTGACCAGTGGGAATGTCCCAGAGTGTTCGAGGTCGCTGAGCCAGCACGGCCGGGCCATGCACTCATTTTCAGGCCTCCAAGGTTGTCCTAAGCAGCCATGACCACCGGTCATATGACACTTGTTACCTGTCACTTTCACACCTGGGTTTGAGCCGTGGCCTCCCCTCGTTATGGCACCATCTCTTCACCCTCAACCCTTTCATCTATTCGGGACGTATGCGTGCGTACACCTCCACACTCATTACGTATGCGTGTTTAACGGTGGCACAGTGGTTAGTGCAATGCGCTCTAACCCCGGTGATCCGAGTTCGATTCCCACGAGAGGGCCCTCCCCCCGATTGACTCGGCCTTAAATGAGTAACAAGTGCAGTGTGTAACCATCAGCACTGGGGAAACAAAGCCATCTCCCTGCCACTTGCTGTTCCCCCGGGCTCTACGCCCGCCGTGTCTAACCCTACGCCCACCGTGCCTCATTGTGCTGCCCCCCATGCTGCGAGTAGATGCAGCATGCGGACGAGAGAAGACTACGGACCGATGTGGAGCAGTTCCTTAGAAAGATTGAGGCACGCACAGGCCTGGAGTGCCACCACGACCCCACTTTCCAGCAGCTGCTGCGCAGGAGTAGCTGCCTCCCCATGTTCCTGACGCAGCTCAATATGCTGCCACGGCTGCCCGTTCGTAATTGGGGGTGGGGACGATTATTCTCGTAACGATGATCTAATACGAATGAACCTGTAAAGTTGTTGTTGCTGTTCAGGATTTACCCTATAGAAAGCTGGCATGATCGGTTGAAGCGCATATACCACCCAAAACATGGCGCCGCTTCTGGCTGAGACCAATGGTGCCCAGATCATAATGACGGCGTTGGTGGTGGCTTGCGGTACGCTTCTTCATTTGAGGTGCCACTGGTTCGGGGCTGGCTGACGTTGCCTGCGATTCTGAGCTTGCAGGGAGATCTCCTCTTATTGCTGAAACCGCGGCTTGTGGTGCAGCAACCCGTCCTCCAGACGCGGCGTCCCGTCCTGCAGAATTGGCGCCCCGTCCTGCAGATGCGGCGTCCCGTCCTACAGATCCGGCGTCCCGTCCTGCAGACCCAGCATCCCATCCTGCAGACGCAGCGTCGGTTTTCTCCCGACGCGGTGCCTCATTCTCCCGATGGAAGCCTGCCGTGCAGCAAGTGCATAGCAGACGGCGAATGAGACACGTTTAGAGAGATGTCCACCTGTCATTATGGCATGAGGATTGGCCTCTCTTTATGAGATGGAAATGTTACTAAAACAGGAGAAAAACTCATGCGTACACACATACTCTGTGATGCATCCCGACATGCATTTGTCTTAAGAAGTATTTAACCCTTTCCATTTCTGATGTAGTATATGTGTAGTGGTATATTTCACTCGGACAACTTTTGTCTTTCTTCCAACACCACTTTACAGTTCTCCACATGTCCTCATGTGCTTCACAGTGTCAATGCTTCACAGTTCCCCTGCTTGCCACGGCTCGCTCGCCTCGCCTTACTCGACTCACTCGCCGCCTTTGTCTCTCCAACCTCTGCTTCTCCGTCAGCTCCGCTGTCACTGCTTCCCCGTTATCTCCACGATCACTGCTTCTCCGTTATCTCCACTATCACTCTGCTTTCTCCAATGCTGGCTGCTTCATCTCTGGTCTCCGCTATCACTGTGCTCTCTCCACTGCTGGCTGCTTCGTCTATGCTCTCCGCTCTCTGCTATCACTGTGCTCTCTCCACTGCAGGCTGCTTCGTCTCTGCTCTCCGCTATCACTGTGCTCTCTCCACTGCTGGCTGCTTCGTCTCTGCTCTCCGCTCTCCGCTATCACTGTGCTCTCTCCACTGCTGGCTGCTTCACTTCAGCTCCGCTTTCCTCTCTCCACTGCTGGCTGCCTTCACTTCAGCTCCGCTCCACGTCTTGCTTCGTCCAGTCCCCGAATCCAACTCCCCTCTCTCCTCGCATCTCCCCAATTTATCCCCGCTCTCATTATTCCCCAATTAATTAGCCCGCGTCCCACCGACGCTCCGCGTCCCACCGACGCTCCGCGTCCCCGTGCACCTGTTCCTTGCCCAGACATTAAGACGCCACTTCAGCCCTGACAACACCAGCCAATCACAGCCGTCTCTGGCTCCCTAGCTTAATTGGCCTAATCATTACCTCATCGTCCCAACCATCGCACCTGGCTGTCCCAGTATGACCCTAACTGTCCTGCCCCCGCGCGATCTCACCATTTACCCCCATGCGCATATTTATTCCACTACATATGTACGTCATCCGTTCTTTTTTCTTCCAATTCCGTTTCGATGACGTACGTATATGTCGTCGGAATAGAACCAGAAGAAAACCCAACAAAATAACTTTATTGATATCGAGCCTCCCACAAGGCCATGCGGGAGGGTGTGTGGCACAATTTGGCACCAGCTATCGTAGAGTCTGGTCGTGTCGCTATGGTTATCTGTGATGAGTACAACCTTAAAAACAACGGTGCTACAACGCCTCTCTAAATAAAATTAATGCTGAGCTGCTTGCATGTTCTGAGATTCAGCGGTAAACGGGAATACCCACCCTACAACTTGCAAACGTCTTGGAACGGGAAAGGGTTAATTTGCAAAAATGGTAGCGCTCATGCCAGGTGCTTAAGGAGCAGTTATATCCGTAGGCTGTAATGAGACCACGGAGCTCGTGGCTCTGCCGAATGGCACACCTCAACCAGGAGGGCTGAGACACCGAGATGGGTCCTTCAAGCTGTTTTGGGTAATAACCCTCTGACCGATTTGGCTGCTTTCCTGTAGGTTAATTCCTTAACGGTAACACAACTTTACGCCGAAGTTTGATTGATATTGGTTTATCTTTTATGAATGATGGTGTCCCTGCCACTAGAGTGACAGATATAATGCACAAATGCTTTCAACCTTAGTTGGAAAGCATTAAATAAATTCAAAAGGAACTGTTATAGCACATTAACTTTCTCTAATAAGAAATAATATATTGATGTAAAATATTTGTAAAAAATATTATGAGCATCACCATCATGTAAGAATATTCAGCAAAAAGTAAAGATTTTAATAAGTACAGGCTCCAGATCTTAATTTTATTATTTCTTTCTATACTCATAACACTCAATTTCTGCATAACGGCTTCAGATACGGTCACATTTATACACTCTAGTAATCTACATTGCACTGTATGGAATACATTTTCTTAATCATAAAAAAACAATGAGTAACACATTTAAGTACAGCCCCCTAGTGCAATGAGCCTTATGGTAAGCATGCCAGACTTTTAACTAAACGTCGTCACCATTTTTGTTTCTTAAATATGGAAGTAACATTTGATTGGCCAGAATCAAAAATATTTAAGTTCGATTACAATAATTGGCTACACCAAGCATGGCTGTGATCAATACTGTGGTCAGTGAGCATCGTGGGGTCTTTTCATCATATCGCTGCTTTTCAGCATCGGACTATTCTAAATAATATTTGGGAGAGTGGATATGTAAACAGGTAAACAATCTGCAAAACATCAACACATCGACAATATTTTACATTTTAAAGGAAGCTTACCACATTTGCGGTACTCTTTGCCGATGCATTTCAAACTCTGCAGTGCCCCCCCCTCCTCCTCCGCGTTGTGTTTCACCAAAGGTCACTCCACAAGAGGTCATGTCACCCCGGCTGCGCAGACACACCAGGGAAACCGTAATCGCAACATAGAGACTCTCTACCATACTGCATCGTTGAACAACACCATAAGCATTACCGAAACAATTATTTTTCAAAAACAAATTACACGAACAAACTTAAAATTATATCTGGTGTTAGTCAAATTACGTCAGAGGGTCATTTTTTGGGCGCTAGCATCCCCGAATACAAGTTCAACATTTAAGCGTGCCTCGACAACATTTTTACCCACCCCGATTGGACATATGTGAAAAAGAGCTTAACACCTCATCGAATTCCTCCAGTAAATACACATATTCTGATTCTGATAGACCACCCAGTTAGTTGAGCACGAAACTTTATTTACAGTAGAACCCCTCTTAACGATAATTGGTTCCATGAAACCGGTCGTTAAGTGATTTGGTCGTTTAGCCAGTATAGGAAATGCAATACACCAAGAAATCAAAATAGATGTTTCCACTTCAAAGCACAGCAGACACTGAATGTAAACAATGCCCCCCAATGCTCATGAATGGACGTCACCGATTGGCTGAGACCTGGTCAGACCACTTTGAAGCTCATCGATTGGCCGAAATTGGTGGTCGCGTGCTCGTCTTAAACCCGTCGTTAACAGGGGAATGATCAATAAGCGTACACCTTGGGCTCTATGGAGGCCTATCGTTAATCGATTAGTCGTTAACAGGGGTGGTCATTAAGAGGGGCTCTACTGTAAAAAAACCCCAGTGTCAATTCAGTCGAATCACCTGAAGTGTTGCTGTCCTGACCAGAAGGCCCTGGGAGAGGAACAGAAATGCCTGGGCTATGTTATGGGCCTCACCCAGTGCACACACACGCGTGTGCGTGGGGGATTATGATTTATGATTGTTTATTAAAGAGATACCTCATAAAAAACTTGTCTTTAAATAAGCAATCTCATTTTAAGGTTCAACACATTTAAAATGGCATGTGACACAAGTCTCCCAGTGCAATGCCGGAGGCTGAGCATGGTTTATAATTTTTGTCTTGACCCCTACAACTGGTGACACTTCACTAAGACGAAGATTTTCTAAGCCAATTCAATAAATATTAGTTTTTTGCATTTGGTGTTAATTTTATGCCATATTCTTTTCATTAACCCACCAAGGCCTGCCAAAGATCGTCACATTTAGAGATACGGGTATCCGTCGATTTACCTTCCGTTTACGAAATTTCTGGCGGACGCAATTTCGATTAACAAAATCGAATTTCCACGTTAACAAAATTTCAAGTGGCACACGCCATGAGACCATCAAACAAGGAGCCACCCACTTCATCCACCCGCGGCAGCGTCACGGTGTCCCTGCAGTGCAACAGTGACGCCTCCACATCGCCTCAACAGTCATTCTAACATGCAGCAAATCTTTTGACAAGTTCCCTGAAAAGGTTTGTTTTTGTTTTTAATTATTATTGAATTGTTTTAATATTGTTAGAAGTTGAAATGCCTATCCAAAACACATCCCTATTTTTTTATAAATAGGAAAAGTCATTCAAATTAAAAAAATTTAGTTTTACACTTGTTTTTGGAACGCATCCCTTTCATAAATCAAGAGATACATGTACTACTTACACATGCCAATGATGATACAAATGTCAACCGGCAAAGCTCACAGGTGGCTTAAGACTTTTCACAACTGAATTTAAAATCTCAACCTCCAAACTGATTACCCAATGAAGCTCAAAGCAGTTTGAGCTAAATGCTGTACGTTGATGTTAAATTCAGTTGTGAAGTCTGAAGCCTACGGTGAGCTTCATTGGTCTCTTACTAGTCATTCTGTACCGCCCTCCATCCAGACAGTAAGATAAACCTTTTCCTCACGGAACTCTCCGACCTTCTCAACCTCTTCTTCTGTAAGTGATCGCCGCTTTATAATAGCCGGAGAGTTTAATTACCCCGGCTCTTCGGGAAGAGAAATTGGATTACCACCTAAGCTGTGTCCTCTCCTACGAATCTACTGTCAATGAATGACCAACACGTGTGTCAAGTACGGACATTGCCAGCACATCAGACCTAACAGTTGAGTCCAAATCTAAATATCAACTCAATCTATCGGAACGCCATTTCACAGTCACCTGAGCACCATCTGTCTACCAGCCATCGAGGACAATCACAGACTACACTTGCAAATTTGGCCGTTTAAATTTCACCACGCTCTAACAAGCTTCTAAACTCCACCTCCTCCTTGGCGTCACCATCATCCGACACCACAATCTGCACCAATCAACTGGACCTTAACCCCAGACATGCCATGGACACTTTAGGACCCGTATCATTCTTTACCGGTCATTCTCTTCTCATAACCAGCAGCTCTCGGCAGCAGCTGTTGCGTAAAAGTGCAGCAGATGCCGACTGGAAACAATCTACTTGTGCTACAGACTCAAAACTGACCACATTACAAAGTCTTATCTGTAAAGCCACCAACAAGCTCATCATAGCCTCAGGTGCTTCATACAAACTCTGAAGCCAACCACCTGTGTCAACTCTGGTCCATACTTAATGCCATTCTCCATCAGTGGTGGCCAACGTGCGATCACCAGGTCAACTCTTCGCTGTTAAATTCGATAGATTTTTAAAGAGACACACTTACCAACATTGCCTCCACCATCCAGATATCATTTTCGCTGTTAGATCAACCCCCAGCCATTCTTTCTTTTGCCTCTCACTCAACACATTTCACCTTTCTAACCCCGAGAGGTTCTCAACCTCATCCTAAATTTCCCCTGGATTTCTTCCCATCCAGCACCTTCAAGCGTTACACCGATAAAGTTACAATGGTTTCTCATCTTGAAAACGCCTTTTTCCAATTCGGTCTGTTCCCTCCATCATATAAATTGGGCTGAGTGACTCATCTCATAAAGAAATCCGGCTCTGACCCCCGAAAACCCTGCCAACTACCGCCCTACTCACCAACGTACCAACCATCTTCAAACTTCCTGAGCGAATTACCTTCGTCCGAATCAAAGATCACGTAAATTCACCCTCCGTCTACCCCCCCTCCCCCTTTCAGTAGCGCCCAGTCCACTCTGGGCGCTAGGCAAACTGAGAGTATTAACATTCTAGCTGTCAACTCTAGTTCTACTGTTGCTCTCTTCAGTCTCGACATACATCTGCCACCTTCAACACTTGAAACAAGATTTTGATCGATTGACTAGAATCCAATTTCGACATCAGCGGCACAACCCCTCAGTGGCTCTGCCATGTCTCTTCGAGAGAAGATGCTACGTCACAGTGGGCAAGACCTCAACCCCAGTCGTTGCATCCACTGTAGGGGTCTCTCAGGGATCTGTCCTGGGCCCCTTACTGTGTTTAGTCTACATCTCCCCAATCAGTTACCTCAGCAACGTTCACGGTATATACACTATCACGTCTACGCTAATGAAACTAAATTATACTCCACACAGGGGCCCACTCAATTCACATATTAAATCCCCCCCCCCCCAAAAGCCATAGCCCTTAATCGAGGAACCAGGCAGCGGTTCATCATTGTGTCGCTCCCCCAATGTCGACATATCACCGGCGAAACCAAAAGTCTCTCAAACATGCTGGGTATCACCTTGGACTCCACACACTCACTGAACAACAGCGTCCTCAACACAGTAGAGTTATGCAATCACCATCTCAGGGGCTTCCGGGCATATCCGCCTCATATCGTCTACAGCCACACCACCAAACACTGCCTTGTAGAAGTCGGCACTCATCTTGACGATTGCAACGCCACCCTCACTCGGACATCAGATTGACAAAAAATCTCGACAAACTTTAGCGTCTTCGAAACAACCCATCACGGGCTGTCCTTTGGATTGGGTGGTACCCAAGCAGCTTCCTTGGTTTTTAAAAATGCATATTGCACTGGCTCCCCATCAACTCGAGGGTACAGTACAACATTGCTATGCTGTGCCGCCGAACTCCACATCAAGGTCTTCCGCCACAGCTCTCTCTACCCCTTTTCACTCCAGACCACAACAAAGCACAGCGTACTATGGGGCACATCGAATACTCTACTCATCACCCACTGCACAGTCAGGCTTTCACCTGATCAGGCTCCCACCTGCTCAGGATCACCCCATCCACAGGCTCTCACCTCTTTTGGCCCTCACCTGTTCAGGTCTTCACCCATTCAGGTCCTCACCCGGTTCAGCCTCTCACCTGGTTCAAGCTGGCATACGAGAGTTTGAGCTCTGGCTCCATGCCTCTGACTTCTCGATTGTACGATGCTTCAGATTCGTGAAATGTACGCGTGCTATAAATTGTGTTTATTATTATAAAGAGGCACACAGGCGCAGGATAAAAATGATTTTGGAAATGGAATTTTCATGAAAGCAGCGAACACCTATGTGCTTGAAGAAGGAAGTATAGTCATACCTTGGTATACGACCGCTTTGGAATACGTTGAATTTGGTATACGTCGTTTTATGATGAGAAAAAAATGTCTTAGGATACGACGCGCTTTATAGAACTTGTATGGGTCGGTATGAGTCACTGCGTACAGTTCCCGCGTACACAATACTGTTACGGCTCTAACAAGCCGTAACAGTATTGTGTGGAATGACCAGACTATGTCACACTTCAGGAACATTCTTAGAGGCAAAAACAAACTTCAATGGACAGGTTTTTAGTAAAACTCAAACCTGGTGAGCCTCAACCAGGTCCAAGTCAAGAAAAAAGACAAAAAAGTGAATGAAAAAAACCCCCAGAATTTCAGCTTCCTGAAGTTTTAATGGAAGGGGACACTCCTTCGAAAAAAATGACATCTCCTCCTCCTCCCCTTCCTCACCGCCATCCTCAAAGGCTATCAACTCCTCTCAGCAAGGTAAAGTGATGTTAAAATTCATTTTTACAGTGAGGGAAAAAAGTATTTGATCCCCTGCCGATTTTGTACATTTGCCCACTGACAAAGAAATTATCAGTCGATAATTTTAATGGTAGGATTATTTGAACAGTGAGACAGAATAACATAAAAATCCAGAAAAACGCATGT